TTGGTTGGAAAAGATATACAAGAGGAGAGAATTAACATTATCAGATAATATGTTGGTTCGTCCCAAAAAGGAATCCACCAGGATAGTCACGTCCTCTTCCGTACTCCCGCTAAAGAAACAACAACAAAGAATCTATTCAGAGAACAATGAGAGACCGTTATCTCAAAGAAGACAACTGTGTTGAAATAGCTAGAGGAGTTCCGGGTGTCAAGTGGAAGTCTCCTATTGAATCAGTACTGAGTCTAAGGTGGTTGCCTGTGTCACAAGCATCCACCTTTAAATAGAAACATGGCCAAGCTAGCTCGTCAAATTCTGGCAAAGCAAAGCCAAAGTCTTCTAAGAAGAAAGCCAAGTTGAAAGAAGCCTATGGAGAAGAAGACTGCAACTCAGAAGGCCATCGATAGTTTGGGGAATATTACCAAACAACTAGGAAGCCTATTAAGCTCGGTGATTTTATAAAAGAACTTAAAATAGATGAAAAGGAAGAAGTTGAGGCCGAATCCCTTCCTACAGAAACACGCAGGGTCATATTTACGACATCAAAGATATCATAAAGGGAGAAATAGCTGAAAGCGGCCCTGAATTCTGTCTGATGGTGTCATCAATGGAATACAGTCAGAAGAAGATCTATGTTTTAACAGATGATGAAGATTCAGACCCAAGTGTAGCATCGCAAATGAAGCAGGTGAAACTGGGAGATGATTCTGAGTCTACAGGTGGATCCTCAGATGCGACAATGATTGAATATGAGGAGAATGCTTCATCAAATAAGTCTGAATCAGATGAGGTGGCCCAAGTGCAATTGAGAAGTGGCAAGGTACTGCCACCTCCACCAAAAAATGGGTTCCTAACAAAGATAAGGGAAAAAAGATAATTATCAATGAAGATATTATCCGCGAACAACCCAAGAAAAATAATACTTTAACAAAGGGGATAAATTACAATATCTTATCCCACTTGAGGAAGAACCCAGCACAACTCAGCATATGTGATGCTGTCTTCATGTGTAAAGACCTTCGAGAGACTTTGATTCAAGCTCTCAAGAACCCCGAAAGATTTGAGGCAAATTTTGTTGAGCATAACCTAACCGAAGTCTTGCAAGCTCGGAATAAACCGATCATTACCTTTGCTGAGGATGATATGATGCTTGGAACAGCAGATCACAACCGCCCTCTATATGTTACGACAGAGAGCGATGGTATGATGATGAGTAAGATTTTGATCAATCCTGGATCTTTCGTAAATCTCATGAGACTCATTGAGATCACTGTACCTCGAAGTGGAACATCTTGGGCAAGACAAGTTGATGGTACACGGCTTCAATGAGAACGGGCAGAAAACCCTTGGATCATTCATACTCCCTCTTGTATTTGGGGAACTCCATACAGAAGCCAAATTTCATGTGATTGATGCGGACACCTCATTTAAGGCGTTACTAGGTCGCCCTTGGTTGCACGAATATGGCGTTGTCCCTTCAACATTACACCAGTGCATGAAGTACCTCAGGGAAGGAGAAGAATTCAGGATCTCTGACGATATTCAACCCTTTGCAATACATGAAGTAACAATATATAAAGATGCCAGGTACTTCATGCCAAAGAAACAAAAAATTTCGAGTTCTCTCGAGGCTAAAGCCTCAAATTCAAAGGCTGCAAAGAAACCTAAACAAAAATATGAGAAGAAGCGTGTAGGGAGAAAGAAGGCAACGCCGGCTCTTCCCAAATCACCAACCATTTCTAAAGAAATAAAACATGTGCCTCACCTTGGGAGTGATGCAGATGAAGATAATATCATCCCTACAAAATCTCGAAAAGTATGCCAGTCCATAGACGAATGGAGTAGGGAGGTTGAATTTTCAAATGATGATTATTATTACGACTCTATCTATATGAATAGGGTGAAAGAGGTATTCTCCAGAAGAATAAGCAGCCTGTGAATCTCAGATAGCGTACTCGTAGTCATGTGTATCCCCCTATAACACTTTAAGGAAATCATTTCACGCGAGGTGCATAAGATTGAAGAACTCTCCACTCTTTATCTTCCTCCTCTGAAGAAGGGGACTGCACCCGAAAATGTATTGTATTCTACGGGAGCACATGAAAAGGAGAATAATGATTGGTGTTGTATGCTCCTCGATTCTGAAGAATCATTTCCTACGAGGCTACCTAGGTTTAATATCAAAAATATTCAGAGAATACTACGAAAGCAAATCAATATTCCTACCACCAAACGACAGCTTCGTACAAACTTGAGCCTTTGGTATGGAAGGAATCCACGTCCATTACAACGGAAGGATATAGATGCATATAAAGGCATCGGATTCATCAAACAAAAATTCCTCCGGAAAGAGACTTGCCAAGCAATCACATGCGGAGAAATCAAATCCGATGATGATGATGATGAGATATACGAAGCCAATGCTTAAGATGATCAACCAGTAGAGGCTACACCTGCACTAGAAGAACTAGAAAATGGTGGACAGGCCGCTACGATGGATGAGCTAAAGGAAGTTAACTTGGGAAATGAGGAAGACCCTCGCCCAACTTTCATTAGTTCTCTTCTACCAGAAGATCAAGTAGAAGAAATAAAAGAGCTACTATGTGAATTCAGAGACTGTTTTTCCTGGACATATGCTGAGATGCCTGGCTAATCCCGTGATGTGGCAGTATACAAATTGACCATCAAGCCTGATGAAGCACCCGTCAAACAAGCTCCAAGGAGAATGAGATTGGAGATTGAAGATCAGGTGATTGTAGAAACAAAGAAGCTCATAAAAGCAAGCTTCATTCGAGAAGAAAAATATGCCGACGGGATTGCCAATATCGTCCCTGTAAAAAAGAAGAATGACCAGATTCGTATTTGCATCGACTTCAGGGACCTCAACAAGGCATGTCCGAAAGATGACTTTCCGCTCTAGTATCAGAACTTCTAGTTGACAACACTTCCAACTATGATATGTTCTCTTTCATGGAGGGATCGTAAGGCTACAATCAGATTAAAATGACGCATGAAGATGAAAGACATACATTATTCAGAACGCCTATAGGCATATTCTGCTACACAGTCATGCCCTTCGGCCTGAAGAATGCTGGTGCCACTTACCAACGGGCTATGACTCGTATATTTGATGATTTAATTCATCAAAAGGTCGAATGCTATATAGTAAATAAAGGGTTGGCAAGAAAAGTGCTGTGTACTTAAATAAATCTTATTTTATATCATATAATAGTGCTCTTAGTGCTCTGACCACTCAGCCTTCCAAGCTTACTTTTAACCATAGGATTTTAGCATGCCAAAGATCAACCCTTGCATGCTCTGATTAGTGGAATAGTGGAATAGCTACAGTAGATTAGTAGATTATAGTAAATAAAGGGGTTGTATATTACAACAATAAATTAAATTGTTAATGAACTTAATGGTTGAAGCTATAAATACACATATATATGAAAAGGTTCAACATTAAAAATATAATTAAGTTAATATCTAGAGAAAGTTGTTGCTTACATTATTTTGAATGTTTTGGAGTATTACACAAAGTTATCCATTAAAGTGACAAAGTAATATTAGTATAAAGCATGTGTTATGTGAAATGTGTATGTGGATTTAAATACATGAAAAGAAGAAAGCGCAATTTGAAAATATATACATATCTTTTATTCAAAAGTATATAAAGACAACTATATGATTGAAATGGAACAAATGTAAATAGCCCTGTATAGTACAAGTTGGAGAAGCAACGCACCCGTGCACGTTAAATGGAAATGAAAAAAGAAAATAAAAATAGTTGTACCTTTATTGATACATTAAAACGGTACTCCGGTACTAATAGAAATAGAAATGGAGTAAATGAATTATGGAAATGGACAAATGAAATACAATGAGAAGTAATTTATGTATAAGAAAGCAAAGAAATATGTATGTCATATTTTACATGCATAATTGTTGTATATGAAATATAATAGAAATTATATATATATATACACACACACACACACACACACAAGAAAGCAAAATGAATATGTCATTTTTGTATGTAAAATTGCTATATTACATGTATGATTGCCCGCTGAGTTTACAAATAAACTCACTCTATTAAACTAATCATTTTCAGGTAAGTCTCTTGAGAAGTTGAAATGACTTAAAAGATGAATACGTCTACAGAAGATGGTGTTTAAATATAAGCAAGTAATATATAGCTTAAGAAAATGAAGAAGATGTGAAAACTGTATTATTATTTTGATTAAAATTTATTTTAGCTGCTCTTCAGCTTTATTTGGAATGTAGATGATAAACCGTATTGGAAATTAAAAGAACTGTTATAACTATTCGTTTGTTTGTTCCTATCTCGTTAGTTTTAGTATCTGGGCTAGGTCATGACAACACTGGTGTCTCATCACTCCCCAGCTTCTGAATGCAAGAACTTTATTTGGAATGGAACTATCCTTTCTATGTTATATCTACTATTTTTTTAACTTTATTCGGCATGCAAATAATGTTTCTTACTAGCTATGTTCTCTCCCTGATTTAAAGCCAAACCTTACATCTCACACTATGGAAAACCAAACCTTCGTACTAAGCAGGCTCTCCAATGAATACCTTCTGTTAAAACCTTTCACAACTGCCGAAATGGAAGGAACCCAACGAGATGTACACACACTTTTATGTTGGCTAAATATACGCAGACAACTATATATAAAAGTGGTTGAAATTTTTAAGCGAAAATGATGTCTGAATGGTGTGTGGTGTTTTTTGAATCTTGGGCGGTGTTTATCATTCATCATATATTAGTTCTGAACTGTCCATTATTGCTTCCTAAAGAAGGATGCTTAAAACATACACCAATTACAAAATTGCTGAAATAAATAGTAAGCATTAACTTAATGACACTTTATTTGAACCATCTAACATTTTAATAAAAAAATTAATATTATCCTGAATCTAGAACTTCAGTAAAATACATACATATCTGAGCTAGGAAACTATTAACAATTAAGCCAAACCTTTCCACATAATCGATTTCAAATCCCACATCAGCTTCTTCTTGCAAAGGTTCTATCCAGGAACTCACTAATGTACGATATTTTTTGCTCAAGATCATTGCTCTTGGGGGAATAGGTTGATTGTCGTTGGACATTGCTTCTAAAGCTTCAAGCAACTCAACAATCCGTCCTGATTATAAACATGATACACTTTCTCAACAACGTGCCATTCACAAAAACAAAAGATCAAAACTTTGAGAGATCTAGTAGTCTTAGCAAAAGTAGCATATTTAATAAACAATGCAATCATGTCTTTTAATCACTTCATGATACCAAGTTATTAATGCGGCACAAAGCAATAATACATAGTTTATTCTACTATGCTTTCCAGTAATTAAGTTCAATAAGTAGATTATAGCACCCAGACCAAATAAATATCAGATAACACATAGAGCAAGAGAAAAAACAAATTAATGAGTAATGAAAGCTTCAGCAATTTTGTTTACCGATACAAGGGAACGTAGAATTTTTATAGAATTTTGGAATCATCACCTTTTTGTCATTTCTATGTGCGTATGAATATTTTGACATACATCCTAATAAAAATTCACCACATTGATGATCAACTACTGCTCTCTCTCTCTTATATATATATATATATATATATATATATATCATCATTATAATAATACTAATAATAATTTTATTCTTCTCTCTCTTTTTTCAAAAATACAAAAATATTCGTGTGTGCAAACATTTTTATAAATTCTCACCCTTATACATGACAATTTCTTACTCTTATCGTGTTACAAATTGAGTGGAATGGGGGACTTCAACATAATTTTGGCATATTGGACGCATGAATATGATCCCTTAGGCTAAACTGAAGATGGATTTTGAAACTTTTGCGTAAATCTCTTGTATTTTTTTCCTTTTTTTTTTTTTTTTTTGGCCTCTTTATATTTTTTAAAGAGAGCAAAATGAGGAGAGAAAGAGGACTAGTTAGAGAGAGAGAGAGAGAGAGTTGGAGACAGAGCGAAAGAACGAGAGGTGAGAATGAGTGACAGATAGTGGGATGAAGAAGGTAAAGTAGAGAAAGAAGGAAGAGATTAAGACAAAAATAAGGAAGAGGCTCAAATCGTCTGACTCCAAATTAAAACCCTTATTTTGGTTCACATCCACATAACCAAAAGCTCCAATCTCTTTACAAATAACAAAGCTGAAATCTAGATCCACTTCAATCTAATAATTCAAATTACTGCCATCCATCTCCACGTTCAAATCATTCAACTCTTACTCCCTTTCATCACCACCAGGAATCATCAATAGGAGCAATCATTCTCTTCACCTTCTTAACATAACTCTTCTTTTCCAGTAACTGCAACCCTTCCGATATAATTAGAGGGCCTTCATCACCCCAAGTTATCTTATTTCTCCTCATTTCCTTAAAGCAATCCGCTCTCCTCCCTTGCAGAGGAAAATTCGCCAACAAAATCCACATCCACTTCCGCATTTAGGCTCTCTGCCACCAATTTCTTCACAGCTAACTTAGGATTCACCCCTTCCTCCTCTTCATCATCATCATCATCAAGAGTCGCATTAAATAATATAGTCATCTGCATCATTTCTTGTAATACGGGTTAGGTGTATGGAGATCGCCTAAGATAGGCAGCATTGTCCTCTGCAGTATCCACCTTATCTTCCTCCAACTAGTTGATGCTGTAGTTACTTTTGGAATAGATGGCGAAGGAGGAGGACACATCGCTTGTGAGGTCCTCAATGCAAAGCCAAACGTGGATAGCGAAGGAAGAAAAATGAAGGAAGCGAATTGCGACAGCATGAGAAGCATAAATTTTTATTGGATTCATAGTTCGTCCTGGAGTTGGAGATTGTGGGACCAAGTCCAGAAGATCGAATAAGCAACAATTGAGAGAAAAAAAAGATTTGAGAGAGGAGGGAAGATAACGAAACTGGCATTGTTGAACAGAAACGGGTGAGAGAACTAGAAATTGGAGAGCAGTGTGTCAACGACACTAACTGCTGCCGCTAGGAGGCTTTGGGAGAAGGATCAGTGCATTGCTGGAAATGTGTGCGGCTTGGGGCAAATTATTGGGTCAGGTGACTTGAGGCAAAAAATAAGTTTGGACATCCAATAAAAATTTGCCGCGTCACCTTGCGCTTTTGACTGCGCTTTTGACTTGCGCTTTAGTTGCGCTTTACTTGCGCTTTACCGGCGCTTTAGTTGCGCTTTATCTGCGCTTTACATGCGCTTTACTTGCGCTAAATTTAAAATAATATTTTATTAATATCCGGACCTATCTCTGCGTTCGCTCACCTGACCAAATAATTTACCGCGGCTTGGAGGGTTTAAAAGGCAGAGAGCTACGAGTGGCAAGGGTATGCTCCAGGCTTAAGTATAACAGTGCGCGCGTGAAGTAGAAATCAAGTGAGGGTGGTTTAAATTTTAGGATTTTCGTCATTTTTTTAAGAAGACGGACGAGACTAGGGTCAGTTACGGGGAAAATTATTAGGTCCGGTCACCGGATCTAGCTCTGCCTTCGGACGTCAACAAAAACTAAACATGTGGATGAATAAACATGGAATTTTTTTTAATATAAATTTATGCTTTATGTCTTGTCACCCTGATCGATTCGACCCACTAACCTTGATGGTTTGAATTTAGGAATACAAGAATGGAAATGAAGTATTTTTATTTTTTACCCGACATTTTTACTTCTCTCTCACTCTCGGCCCTCGGACTCAGTGTGATTCTTCAATCCTTCAGCATTTCCATTCTACAAGACCTTCCCGACGGTAGACGATGTTGGAATACTTAAGCTGCATTTAAGAAAAGGTAATGTTGTGCCTTTGTTGCGCCTATATTGCGCATTTGCTGCGCTTTATGTGAGATTTTATTTTTTAGTTTTTAGGGTTCATTTCATACATACTAATTTGTTCAATATTTTTTTAAAATATTTATGTTTTGCTTTTTTTAAAAATATTTACAATCTTCTATGGCCCATGTCTCCTTAAACACTTCCTCGGAATCACACTTGTTCAAACTCTTATAGGAGAGTCATCTGACATTATTGTTACTATTGAAGCTAGGTATTTTTTATGGAACCTTTTTTAAAAATGTGTCATTGGCATAATCTATGACAAGTGTCAGACAATGCATCTTCTATGGCCCTAGCCATAGCCTAGTCTTGATTAGTGAATATTGTTGTTGGATGTTTATTACCCATTATTCGTACAAATGTTTTAAATAACCATATAAAACTATCAATTGTTTCTTCTAACAAAAAAACAACCCCTAAAAAAATGTTCTGTTAATGATTGTTAATACCAACAAATGGTGCACATACAAAATTATACTTGTTGAGCTTTTAGCTAGTATCAAAAATAAACACATCACCAAAATAGTCATAATCTATCCTACATATCCCATCAACTCTGAAAAAACTTAACAATCTATCATACTCATCAATTTGAACATCCCATGCGAATATGTGGTCTTCAACTTGTCGATCTTTAAATAATTGAATCAAAGAATTAGTTCACCAAATTTAATCATTGCTTTTTTCATCTTCTGAATAAAATTGTAGGCATCCCTCTTAGAGAATCCAACATTCTCGTATCCTCCAACTTCCTCTGCAATGTAGGCGTATGCATCAACGATTCTAATCCATACATATGTCATTAATTTAATGACGAAAGCTTTTTCCTCAACAACATTCCTACATGATCTCAGAAGGTGTCGGTCGGCTGGGCTAGCCAATTCATGATTGTGAGATTCAATAAATCTTTTGACATGCCAGTAATCATCTTCATCAACTACAAATCTCACCATAGATGGATAACCAGTTCTAATATCTAGTTTAGTAAATTTCTTTTTTGAATTCAGAACAATACTTTTCTTGAAATCAGTTTTTGAACAGACAAAATCCTTGGATTTTATCTTTCTAGAATTTGGCCAGAAATTATGATGATCCTTCCGGATGCTAAAAGCATTATCATGGGCATAAGTACAATAACATCCATATGCTTCTCTCTCATCTTTATACACAACTTGAAATAAGAAGCAAAGATTACAAAGCGCAACCAAAGCGCAACAAAAACGCAATAAGCGCATCATCTTTATCTTTACATACCCTAAAAATAATGATGTTCTTCGACTTAAATAAATTAAAACATTAATGAGAGTTGAACAACAACAACTAAGAGCTTATTTACTTTTTCGCCTAAACCCTAAACGCACTAAGAGCTTGAGCCTCTAATGAGCTGAAATCTACTGAGCAATTGATGCCCTTTTTCTACACAGCTTTGTTTTACAAGTTTCAAAAAGTATATTTTTAATACAACTTGTGATGAGATTGAAACTTACAATATGTTGAAAACTGTGGAAGTTCCAGCTAAGTTAACTACCGATTCATGTATCTTTTCGGATTCATGCATCCCTTCTGATTCATGCATCCCTTCTGATTCATGCACCACTTACCCCTCTGTCTTCGGAGAGCATTCCATCTCTTTTCTGTAATTTTCTAACTTGTTTTTTCTTCATTGCCAAGCAAAAGCAATAAATTTTTAGATCTTTGGCGGGTTTCTAAAGATAGCGCCAACCCTACGTTTAAAATGAAAAAAATAGTAGACCAGGTCGGGTCGCGTCGGGTTCATATAAATTAAATTAAAAGACTATATTAAAAAAATTCCACATGTATTCATCCACATGTCCAGTTTCTATTGGCGTCTGAACACAAAGCTAGGTCCGGTGACCGGACCTAATAATTTTCCAGGTTACGGTGTAGGGTAAATATGCAGGAATTCAAGGAACTGATGAGATATGGTGATCTAATTTTGATTTTTAATAAAAAAAATAAATTAAAAAAAAAATAAAACTAAAGATAATTTTGTTTATTGATCCCTTGGGCAAATTTCTTTTTCCTCAAGTCTCAGATTTCATGTCATTGCCTTGCGTGTTGACAAGTGTTTCATCTTTATGAGATAGACCAATATGAGTGTCTTCTTTGGATAATTTGTACAGGTGAACCATACAATTTTGTGTTTCACCTTCATGAGGTAGATTAGCCAATATAGGTGTCTTTTGGGTGATTTCGACATTCTGGAGGCATTGATGTATTTCATTTTGTTAATCGGTGATGTTTAAAATATTTTTTCCACAATGTTGTGATTGTAGTCTATTATTTTTATCTTAATTGATTGAATTCATAACAAGCGATGATTTTTTTTTCATAATTTTGGCGTTTTGAAAGCGTCGTGCATCTATTTTGGGCATGGGCAACATTTTAGCGATGTCGCATTCGCAGTTCATCATTTTTCATTATGCAACTATTTAGTGGTCATTTATGGGCATTTTCAACATTTGAGATATGTGGACACAATCCATTTTGTGAAATAAGCAATTATTGAGCAATTTTAGTTGTCCAACATTTTTGTCTTGTTCAATTGAGTTGAGCGTGAGAGGCGCTTCAAATAATTTTTATGCTTTGGACACATCATCACAATCCGTCTCGCAAATAGGCGATGTTTGAGAATACTTCAATTGCAAATGAAGCATCGAGTCCAGTTTGCACAATGTTTCATTAGTTAGCTCCAGTTTTGATTGTGCTAGCTCAAATTGCGATAAATACAAAGGTCAACATTTCTTCTCATTTCTCCTAAAATAACCATAAAAAATTTTGCAATTCTTCTGCAACCTAATTACAGATGAGGATTTCATGATCATCACTAATAAGCTCTATGCCTATTTTTAACAATTTCAGAATAGTACTTTCAACTAACTGTTCATCACAGCCTGATCAGGCCTTTAGCTAGCAACAATTCTAGTTAAGTAGAAATGTATGGATACTTTTATATAACCTTTAGACATCCAAACCTTTCATTCATAACCGCTCCACCACAGCAAAATGAGAGGGACCATCATACAATTCAGAGATGTTTTTCACATAACTCGCCTAGTCAAATGAGAAGAACTGACAAGGGTTATCGTCCAGGGACATCTCCATTTTCTCTAAGTTATATGAACAATTGTTAATGATTATAATGATCATCTGGCCATTTGTACAAACAACGGTAAACATGCTGGCTTATAACATATACCATTCTGCCAAAATTATCTTCCAACAATAATCATGCTTTTTTATTTCAAATAAAAAAGTGAGACAAAAACAAAGTTCTCTGCAGAAATTTTCAAATATAAACGAAGTAATTCAAAACTAGACAGATTACATATGTCAAGTGTTTGAAAGCGACAAAGGAAAATTATACCTTCACGACATAATGCTCTCAAATAAAGAGAAAGCGGGTCTCCATGATTCCCCTCATTGTATAAAACCTTTGTTCCACCAAGAAAATTCTTAAGAGCACGAAAATGTCGTATAGCTTCTCTCACAACACAATATTTGGTGAAGCATTCAACTAGCAACCTGAGTGGATTGACAATTGTTGGTGAACATATTGCATCCCAATGAAGTCATATTTGATGCAAACTTTAAGAGATTAACATGAAAACTCGGGCCATTTATCTATTTCTCAAAGTACAGCAACAAGTTTCCAGTCAATCCAACTAAAGAGTTGCACAAAACGATATCATAGAAAAAAAAATTATATATATATATATATCATAGAATACACAATATTACCTACAAAATATCCAAAACTTAGTTATTACCTGTAGTAAGCTAAAATTTTCTCATCTACAAGAACAGAACATCATGTTTAGTATCTGTTACTGATTTTCGGAATATTATTTCAACCTTATCACAACTGTGGTAAAAAATAATAAAAAATACATGCCTAACAATATCCGTGAGCAGGGTAGGCTGAAATGATTTTAGATAAACATAGCCATGGATGGAGGTAACAAATCAGATGTAGTATGAAGAAGCTTTTTCAATGCATAAATTAAAAACTGGAATCTCTAGGAAAAATAAACTGAGATTGGCTACTCTGTGAATCAGTTTTATATGTTCCAATAAAGTAGGCCCCAAACGCTCATTACTCACACGTGGAAACATTTGAATCCGCTTTTGTATTTATATATTCTAAGCACAAGCAAATTTAGAACAAGAGATCAGGCCTAGTCAATGTTTTTGGCATTTAATGGGTTTCCATTAACTTGAGTTAGCTCAATCAAAATTTGAACAATTTTCATTTAAATTGTGCATGGAAGCATGTCTAGAGTGTGGCAAAGCCTCATCAATTCAAATCCTCACACAAAAAATGAAATAGGTTTGGCGTAAATTAGTGAAATAGGATGGTTTTGATTTCAGCTTATTAATAGGAGTCTGTATGGAGTAATGTGGGAGACGTGGTTATCTCTGCTACCAATTATGAAGGAGCATCACTAGCTTCTTGCCTGACTATTTAAATAGCTTTGTAGTCAGCACCACACATTCACGATATATTACCTATAGTCCATTTTTAAGGAAGGTGCTTATGGAGCACAGGAAGAGTTGCTCAGACCATTTAACCACCTAACTTTCAAACAAAATTATAATCAAAATAAAAATTGGGACAGAACTTGTTACTTCATTAATCCGATCCACCATTGAGCATTGTTCATAGTATGTGCTAAAATTAAGAAAGACCTCCACACAGATTAAATATAATACATAGAAAGGGTTTATCCAATGCACAGAATACGTTAAACTCTTTTCACTACAGGATCTGCAGAGTTCGCACCGACTTACGGCATCAAAACAAAGAAGCAGACACTTGTTTGAACATATGACTCAAAATCCAGTAGAGCAACTTTACTGTTGCTTATGAGCTCACCCTCAAATGAAATGTGCAACATCAGTTCATATAAAAGATTGCTGAGCTTCAAATATGACCCTTATACTTATAAATGTGGAAAAGATTATAGAAAAATCTATCCAGCATGCACTGCAAGAGGATTTAAGTAAGAAACCAGATAAAGAAGATCTAGAATGTGATCTTAGATCAATGTTCTTACGCATAAGTTTTCACATTTGGTTGCAACCTTTTGTGATCTTCAACCATCATTCCAAGCAGTTCAACCACATCCTGCACCCTACAGATTAATGCCAAAAATATTCAAATAATATCTTAACCTAAAAAATTCAAAGCTATCAACAATTTTTCTAGCAAAAAAGTTTTCTTGGACAAAAGATAGAAATTAGATAATTGACAATATTTAATCAAAGCTAAGAAAACAATAACATGTTCGCTAACAGAATCAACCACATCTGGACCCCAATGATAGTATGGTACTCTAATATCACACTCAGCTAGAGTAAGAAAATTCTGAATGGGGAAAAAGCAATAAATTGAAAGTGGAGAAGGGAGAAATCAATTCCTCTTGTCATTCATTTATGCTGGAATCAGCCAACTGTCGTTTATTATTCGAGGAAAGAACAAAGGTAAAGATATTACTCCTAACCAAATCTAAATATGCCAGATTTGGAGCTACAAAAAAATAATAGGAATAAAAAACAACGCACTTATTTATATTCCTGATATTGCAAGGTTAAGAGAAAAAGCAAATTATATATACACCAGTTCTTAGATTTCACACATTTGAAATTTCAATGTGTCAATCTGGATCCTTGTAAATAGCGATTTCCACGCACCCCAATCATGTTTGAGGATAGATCTTTTTTCTTCTCAACTTGCATTTAATTACTTGAAATCGTGAAGTTGGTAAACCCTTGGTTCTGGCATTAGCCAGTTGGTCATGTGAGGGAATATAAGGAGTGTTACGTAAATTACTATCCATTTTATGTCAAGAAAATTGAAAAAGTACTCAACATTCCTCTCAAAAACTAAGCCCTTAATATGAATTGACTATCAAATTCTGACAACGTAGAACTTCATTATACATTTAATCTTGATATAAATTAGTGATTCAGTGCTGCTCCTTGGAACATTTATCACTGAACAAACATCATAAATGGTATTATGGGATGAAAGCCAAAGAAAGTGAGATGGGGAGGAAGACAGCACCTGTCATATGACTCAGCTCGAGTGTATGCTTGGATCACCCAGTTATAACTCTCTGTGTCAGGTTTCATGTAATCTGCACGGAAAGTTGCAGTTTGCACAGAAGAAAATCAGCAAGAATAAACAAGCAAGCATTCCATCAACAAATTCCACAAACATCAAACACAAGATTCCATGCGCCAAACAACATGCCTAAATTCTTTAATAATGTAATGATGGTGAAGTGTCTCACAAGGATAAATCCAAACGCTTCTGAACAACAACAGGCACACATTTTATCTCGCCCAGGTAGATGCAGTGGACAATCATGTAAACGATAAAAGGAGATTAATGAAGGAATAAATTAGTAGAAAATCTCAACAATACCTTACGAAAAGTGTTGGAGAGGAAAATATTTGAAGTATATGATTGAGTGAATACAGATGTCTATATATATGCAAACAAAATATATAAAAGACAATGTGGAGAATATTCTAAAGTATAAGGATATAATACGGTAATAAAAAAGATCTTTGCAATCCAGCACTGTACTATTCTAATACTTACCTAAAGTTAGAGCATATAAATAAAAAAATTTAGTTTGTTATAATGCTTTAAGAAAAATCTCCTCTTGTGGGCTCCAAAAATTCGGCCCCGGCCTCCCCGCCGCGCACTGATTGTTTGCTTTTGCTTGAGCGAGGGAGTTTTAACACATTATATTCCGAGATAAATTTTGGAAGGCGGATGGATTTGTAGATAACACACTACCGAGAGATTTCGCCCTCATTTGCGAGGACTTTAAGATCTGATTTATGGTTTCCTATAGGCGCAAGCCCCTATAGTTAATTACCCCTCCCGATCACAAGAGAGAACTTTCGATTAAGGCTAGTCATCGATCAGATACGTATAGAATATGTGTTATCTGGCGTATAGTAGCAGCACTGAGTTGGGATTTGGGAATTTGGAAATAGTTTGGACGTTTAAAAATTTTGATATTTAAAATAGAAATTTCACCATCTTTCACTTTTAAAGCGGATGGTGGGGGAATGGATGATGGACCCGATAAGATCCCATGGTTCCGTCGTCCCGGGTCATCGTGGTCCCTGGTCTACTTAGTCAAAGGAGGTAGTCGACCCAACCTGACAGAAGGATCCTTGTTGGCAGCCATGGGTGGTTGCTTCGTCCAAGGGGACCTTGTAGACCTGGGGTGGGTATTTGCCTAAGGGGACAAATTTGAATCCACCTTAGCTTCAGAGGGCTTTGTGCCCTATCGATCATATCCTATTTATTCATATCTCAAGGATTTGATGCTAATAAGGAACGTATCGGCTCTGGCCATAACCGGTATTTCGTGGTGCCATTTAGAGGCAAGACCACTCGGTTCAGAGGGCCCCGGAGTCATAACCGTTTTATTCTGCGGTGCCATTTATTGGCAACCGCCGGTTAGAGGAACGTACCACATCCTTACTGGCAGGAGACTGTTTGAGAATGGATCCTAGTGATATTTTCGACTAGGCATTTGGCTCGTTGTGAGCTGAAGTAATTTTTTAGATTTGTCCATCTCGGCAAACTGTTGCGGATGGTGGATAAATTTTGCTTTGAGTGATTGATGGTTTGATTTCAATTTTAAATATCTTGTAATTTCTGGATTATGGATGATCTTTAGAATTTTTGGATTTTGAGTGGACTTTTGGGAGGCATTTGAAAATGCTTGAAATTAACCCCTTCGGTTGAGATCATCGTTCAACACGGCCATCATCGGGGTGTACTTGGGGTCATTTAGATTTGTTGATCGAACCCTGTCAACTCGACCAAGCTATTGGTGTGTTTTTCGTAGGCTTTGTGCCTTTGTTCATGAATTTTCTTTATTGAAGGCCTTGAAGGCTGAATATGAATATATAAGATAAATATTTCTGGTCGACTTCGTGACCGCATATTTATTCGATTGGTTCGAACCCTGTCTACTCCTATTTACATGCTTAGGAGGATCGGGTTTCGTAGGCTTCATGCCTTTTGTTTAGTGAATTCTTTTGGTTTTAGACCTAGAAGACCTAATATTAATGTATTAAAACAAAATACACCGGTCTCCACAATCGTGTACTTGTTTGAGAGTTCGAACCCTATCGACTTCTATTTATCCATATAGAAGGATCAGGTTCGAACATGAATTCACTTATCGACCCGTGCAGCATCCCTAGACATCACGTGTGTACCAATAACACGCGCTCGTCGGGGCTCATGCGGGTCAAGATTATATTTTCACCTTTAGTGTACCTATGTGTATACAATTTATAGTTTACGTGCAGGGGTATTTAAAATAATTAAGTTGTGTAAGTATCTGTCATTTAATGCACAACATTTCCTTAAGAGCTTATACACGCCTTCTATCTTCTTGTACGAATGTTGCAGATCCGGTGGCGTCGTTATATTGGATGTCATGAGGTCTCATCTTGACATTGACTCCCCTTTCTCAATCACCAGGGAAATTCTTCTGGACTTTGAAGTCTGTTTCTTTGAAGAGAATCCCTTTGAGGTCGTCATTGTAGTGGACTTGTTATTTCTGGTGTTTGTGGGCACCAGAGCTATTTTCTTCTTAAGTATAGAACTAAGAAGAGACTTTAGAACACAAGGAAGTTTAGTTATAATTTGTTCAAACATTTCCTCCCTTCTGTCAGAGGGTGTCCTTTTCGTACATAGAGTCACCCTTGTAATCAACGCAGTTGTAGATCTTGGTCATCGTCAGTTGTAGGTAATATCCGTACTTGTGTCCACGGTGATTCGTTGTACCTACGATATACACCACTATTATTATTCATAAGTAGTGTTGTGTTCATATTTACGGGGACCAGTTGTATTTTCTACAACCTCCTGAAGGTATTTGTAGAAGACTCATGGTTCTTGTATCTTACCCATCCTTTCGCCATCTCAGGTGGGTCTTGATTGTACTTATTTGTAGGAGACTAAATCATCATTATTGATTGACAGTGTTGCCATCTTCAATCAACAGGCATTGTTGCTAGTGTTGGAGGTTCCAATAGTGCAAGTAGGGGGGACGCCCATGCATTTCATTCTTGCAGGTACGATGCACCCGATCTCATAGAGACTATTGTAAGAGTCCACTACATTCTTTATTTGCATGCATTGAGGTCTTGTAATTTGAGTTTCCTCGTGTGGTGACCAAAGTTTGTACTCTATATGTGTCTAGTCCAAGTTCAGTTTCATTCAGACTTGAGTTCAAACTTAGTGTGAGTCTTTTACATTCATTCAAGTCTTCTACTGTCATGTTAAGTTCATCCGGATTTGAATCTAATGCTCGCAAATGCGAATTTCACTTGGTGTCTTACAGTTTAAAGCTCAAATGCATAAGTTCTTGTTGTCCACATCTTGTTCTAGTTTTGAATTCAGAGTACAAGTTCAAGTCTTTGTTCAGGATCTTCTGAAGTCCTTCCAAGTTCAAATGCATGTTCGTATTGACTTGATTTTGGTTTCAGTTTGATTTTATTTATTTGGGTTTGAGCCTTGATTAATCATTTAGATTTTGTTTGTATTCAAGTCCTCAAGTCCACTGTTCCTCGTACAAGGTTCTCTGTACATTTAATTCAATTTCTGTGTATTATTGTTCGAGTACTAGTCTCCTACATTGTTGTCTATTGAGGTCTTCTTATTATTCAAGCTTTGTGTACTTCAGTGAAAATTTCGACAGCACCCCGACATATCCCTCGTTTGGGGGAAAATAGGGGAGCTGGGCCTTCCCACCAGCTTATCGAGCGTGTATGGTAGGTGTCCTTAGACCTACGGCCATACAAATTTTCATCCCACCACGCTACAAGAGCGTGTATGGGGCCTTCAGCGTACCCGTACAGCAGAACACCAGTAGCTCTCCCCACCACGCTACAAGAGCGTGTATATGGCTCACCCACCTCGCCGTATGCTTCGCACCGGGCTCCCTCCTACGTGCTACAAGAGCGCTTATAGGTGGTTCCCGATCCGTTGCAAACATCGAGAGTGGGATTTGGAACATTATACCTCTTGTAGCAGTGTCGGCGGTGGCGGTGTCGAGGTCGAGGACCGTCCCCACCACGCTACAGAGCGTGTATAGGGCTTACCCGCCTCGTCGCACGTTTGCACTGGATTTCGCCCAGTCTCGTGTTACAACAGCGCGTTATAGGAGGTCCACCAGTGCACCAGCACGTCGAGGGCAGGGTTTAAGTCAGAAATAAAATTATACCTTGGCAACTCCGGCGGTGGAGGCTCGTGGACCGATTTGTAGTAGGCATTTCTTTATTATTATTATTATTATTATTATTATTATTGTTATTTATTATTTAAAACTTAATTTTTAATTAATTATAAACTAATTAATTTTTTAAAAAAATTTAATTATAATATTATAATACTTAATTTTAATTACAATACTTTAATTATGTTTAATTTTAATTAATAACAATTAATTAAAATAAAAATAATTAATTTTAACTAATTTTAATTAATTATAGATAAATTATAATCATAATAATTAACTATAATTAAAATTAATTTAATTAACTTAAATAATATTATTAAAAAAATTAGATATAATTAAAATATATAATTATAATTAATTATCAATTATAATTAATTACTTTTTAAAATTAATTAAATATAATTAAAAGAAATTAATTTTAAATGAAAATAATAATAATATATAATAATAAAAAAAACAAAATCTCTCCCTCTCTCTCTTCTCAGGTTCGGCGGATCCACAGGATTTGGCCATGGAAGCATGCTCAAGGGAGAAAGTTACCTTCACAGCCGTCAGGCTCCCGTTGCTTCCGAACAAAATGCTGTAACTTTTCAATCCACGGAAAGGGAAAGTCGTCTGAGGAGCGACGTCGAACAGCCAAAAGGAAGCCGAAGAAGCAAGTGATAGGGGAGAAAGTTGCGATCACAGCGAGCTCGCCGGTGGCTTCCTTTCAAAATGTCGTAACTTCTGATTCACACAAGAAGGAAGGTCGTCGCCGGAGCCAAGTCGAACAGCAGCGAGGGTCGGAGAGATGGACGACGGGAGGAAGTTAACTTCACAGCGGCGAGTACCGATGTTGCTTCCGATCCTAAAGT